ATTTGATTTCTTAAGGAAGAATTTTGTAGGTAAAGTGTCACTTGAAAAGACCTAATAAGAAAGGAGCCAACAACCCTTTGTGTTTTTCCATTGGTCACCAATGGTTTTGGGCAAATAGTTTCAAGAGGTTTGGGGGGGTTGTGGGGGAGGGAGACAGGAGCAAGCAAGTAAAAGGTATTTTCAGTGCTAGATGGGGACAAATATTAGGTTACACAATCCCAGTAACTCGTAAGAAGGAAATAATAATCTCAAGTGGCCATGGCTCCCCTGCCAAACAGCAATGAGCCAAAGGTCTCTATTCAGGTGCCTGTGCCGCGCCCACCAGAGGATGGCTGCATACAAAGCCGGCTGTTGTATCTAGAGGAAGAGCCATCCTGAGTGACCACACATCAGACCTGGGGAGGGCTGGCAGCAGCTAGGAGAGCCGATGGGCCTTCACAGAGCCAATTGTTCCCTGCCTCCTGGGTCCAGCCAAGAGGGGTTTAATTAAATGAAAATAAAAGCCATCTCAGTTCACCTAGGGAGGGGGAAGGGCCAGCCAAGTTTCCATCTGATACTTCTCAGTTCGTGGCTTAGCTCTCTAATGACTGGATATTTGTCATTACTTGATTTTTTTTTCTTTGTTCTTATTAGAGTAGGAATTTAATTAAGGTGATTACATTATTAAACAAAATAGAAATGTTTTGTACACTAAGCCTTCCATCTTACCCTTCAAAGGATGTGGCTCTGGTAAGAACCCATCATCTCAGCAGCGCCCCACCCCACCCCCACCTTAGTCCTGACTTCTCAAGTTAGGGTCTTGAAGTCCTTATCTGAGTCCATTTAGTAGATAAATACTTGAGGCTTAAGAGAAGGTTGTGTGCGTGCGTGCGTGCGCGCGCGCGCGCGCGCGCGTGTGTGTGTGTGTGTGTGTGTGTGTGTGGTTTGCTTTTTTTTTAAATCTTACCTAAGAAATACATTTGGAAGTCAGGTGTGGTAGCCCACACCTGTAAACCTGGAACTCAGGAGGCTGAGCAGGGGATGCTGCTAGCCTTCAAAACAGAGATAATCTTCTTTCAAAAATGGAAATGGTACTTATAAATATGGTTTCTGAATTTTCCTGTCTAGTGATGGCATGAACGCGGATGGGGCAGTTATTTTTCTTGTTACCAAATCAGCAACGAGTTATCAAACCCCAGCAGCAGCAATTGTCGGGGACAAGAGAAGCTGAATTGGATCAATCCTGTGGCTTAGTGAAAATTAAAAATAAAAGCAGGCTGACTTTTTAAAAATTATTATTAAAATCATGAGCTTGAATGGATAATTGAACGGTGGATCCTTTTTTTTATTCCCATCTTTTCCTCCGCTTGAATGAAACTCAGACAGACATGAGAGATTCTTGTTTGCTTCTGCCTCACCTACTGCCCAGCCACCAGCCTTCCCTTAGCTTGGCTATCTTGCAGTCGCCTGGCACCATCATTTCACTCAAATTTGGAGACAGGATTGTGCAGTGGTGTGAACACTGATGGTCCACCACTCCCTCAGACTTAATGGGGGTTGCTCTTCACTAAGGCACCGGCTCTTACAGGACTACTGCGGGCCTCACTCTCCTCCAGCTGCCTTCCACCATCCCTCCTCCATGCCCCCGTTCTCTGTGCCCGCCCCTGTGCTCAGTCAGGTCCAGCAACTGTGCTCAGTCAGGTCAGCACAAGCTTCCTAGATGCATTCTTCTCATCAATTCCTGGTGCTTAATTTTCCCCCCACAGCTACTGAACAAAACCCGAACCTCTCCCAACACCGTCCACTCCTGTTCTCCACAAGCTACAGGGTCCCTGGCAGGTATTCCCCAAGCTCTGAGCCCAAACACAGGCACCCCTGCCCTCTTGGCTCTCTAGCCAATGAGCCCCTGGGAGTGTTGATGCTTCCACAGGCAGCTCAGACAGGGATGATCCAGCTGGATCAATGTGTTCTGGTCTTTTTCTTCCTCAAGGGCCTCCGCCTATTCCTCGGGCGTCTCGGCAGAGGGCGCTCCGGCATCAGCACAAACAGGCACAAATTGTGAATCCGAACCCCGCATTGCGCAGCAGGTTTCCAGTCTGTACACGCAGTAACCATCCTGGCACGTGCGCATGCGTGCAGTCGTAAGCGCCCATGTTTTGATCTTGATCCGGGTCCACCGTAAAGGATGGCCCAGAGGCTCAGCCTTTGCATTTTATACTATTAGCCTCACTAAAGGCAAAGATAATAACCATGTAACTTCCTACTCTACTAACCAGACTAGATTCACTCGAGATCTACTTTAGTTGGCTACACATATTCCTAAACCCCTCAAAGGAGAGAAAAAGAATCTTATGCGATGAGATGCGATTTCAAAGTTACTGCCGAGTTATTCGATTCTGTTTACTTGAAGCCAGCTGAATCCATGTTTGGGTGGAAAGTCTCGTGGATGGACACTGTAGTGACCACTCACTGGGAAACATCAGGAGAACCATAGTCGCTATGAAAGTGGCTGTGTGCTCTTTAACTGTTTTCTTTGCTCATATCAAAGGCATTGGGCACTGTGTGTGCCTAGCACACTGCCAAACACTACCTGTGTGATCTTATTTTTCCTGCATTTATACCCTATGGGTTAGGTACATTTCTGAGACGGAGGCTCCAGGTTGGTGAGGGAGCAGCTGGAATCCTTGCCTGTCAACACAGCCCAGGATCTCCACCTTGAGAAACGTTCATGAAAAAAGAGGCTGATGGTGGCTCTGGAGTGTCTGACAGGTGTGGTTGGTAAATAGTATTTTCCCCCCCACAACTCCAGGGCTTTTCAGTTGAAATCTATACTTGAAGGAAATTCCTACTTGTCTCAACCAAATGACATTTTATGTGTTAGGAGTTAAATTATCAGCTGTAAAATCAACTTATTACCTGGTGAGCAAAATTAGAATGTAGAGGCCCAGCTATTCAAAGATGGTGAGTGGCTGTGTAATGGCTCTCTTCTGGAAGGCTCTATTAGTGTCTATTAACCTGCCTTTTTTGTACTGGACAACAGACAGCCCTTTACTGCTGAGTGCCACTGTGAAAGGCAAAATGCAAGGACTACAAGGACAACCAGGAGGCAGTTGGCAGTGGTCAAAACAGTAGGAAGAAGGCAAATACCATATTCTATCAAAACCACCCTTCCGACTCTTCTAAAATGAAAGCAAGTCCCTTTGGGGACACATGCAAGTAGGGCCAAAATATCTTATGCTGAGGTCATTTGTGAGAGCCAAACTGAGAAGTGCCATGCTGGCCCATCCCTTCCCAAATGTCTGAGTCCTAGGCTACACACTAGAATCCCATGGTAGCCAGTCACCTGTCTGTGACAGAGAGGAAAGAGCAAGTGAAATGGTGTGAGGCCATGGAATTAAAAGGACCAGCACAGACGGAAACTGAGGACGGGTGGAGAAGATTTGGTCTAGTGTCTACTCGTGAGCAGCTGGATCCAGCCCTTCCAGAAGAGAGAACCTTCATTCTAAACATCTTCCTTGTATCAGAGATTAATTTGAGACACATTTTTGTGCCCCTGTGGGAGGAGGGCATCCCAAAACCAATACAACATTGGTCTTCGGCAGGCTTTCTGCAAACTGAGGTCTTCCTTAGCAAGTCCCAGCTCTCAGACCTGGGTTTCTTCCACTAGCAAGGTGGATGGGTAATCTGCATGGACCTCACCAGCATCCATCACCAGTGTCTGTTCTAGAGTCTAGATGGTGGGAGCCTGGACTGGCTTTTGCAGCTGTGAGAATTCAATGAAGGCTGCCCTCCCCTTGACAGGCTTGGTTTTCTCAGACTTTAAGCACAAATTAATTATATTATATATTATCATATTATATTATATATCATGTATTATAACCTAGCATTTTAAAGGAAGGTGCATGTGTGTGTGTTTGTGTGTGTATAATTTTTTAAATTCACAAATGATGAATAATATTTTATTTCATTTCCCTGGACTGTATGTGGTGCTACCTTTTCTGTCACAGAAGCCAGACCTACAAAAATGTGACTACCTGACCCTTGGCTGGCCATCTCCAGTTTCCAATATCATCAAATCTCTGTGTCACTCATAATTACCCTCTACATCCGGAAATAATACATATCTGTTACATGTTTATAAGGTAGAATAAAACCAGTGGATGGAGAGTCAGGAACCCAAAGAATATGTGTTTGTGACACATCACACCATTAGCTCCAAGCTATAGACACAAGTTTTACAATCAAGGGTTGTCTAGAACCCAGGCTTTCTTGGAGCCTAGTCAGATGATCTGGATCTCCTCCACCTCCCCTGCCCCCCACCACTCCCCACTCCCGTGGTCTGAAGGTAAATAGTTCTCAAGGTGGAATGACAAAGGGGTGCCTTCTTAAAACTAACCTTATCTGGGGGTGTTAGCAGAGTAGGGGGTGGGGCATAAAACCAGGTGACAATCAGGGCGACTGAGAAAAAACCGTCTGGAGGTATCTAAGAAGGTGGCTGGTACTCCCAGCTAAGCCTCCCGGTGCCGCCTGAAATTAGGGAAGGAAAGAGAGCTTGTGTATCAACAAGGACTAGGACTCAGGACACAGTAAGGGCACCAAGGTGCGTGGGACCACGCGGTGGGAATGAGATCTGGGTGGCAGGCTGCAGGCTCAAGGAGGTCAGCCCCTCCCCTTCGCTCGCCCGCGCCGGTGCCGCAGTCTCACCGCCCTAGCCCTCTGCAGACGCTGCCCTTGCCTGGCCAGCTGCGGGCTCGGCCCGGGGCGGGGGTTCCGGAGCCCGGAGCTATTTTTAAAAGACGCGTCACCGGGTTGGGGAGGAAGAGCCCGCGCCCAGGCCCATAGTCTGGGCGCGGCCAGCGGGAAGGGTCGCCCGAGAGCGTTTCGAACCACCGGAGCGCGCGAAAAGGCGCTACCGGCCGAGAAGACCCCGCCTGACCCCGGGAGACCGCGGGGCGTGTCAGGGAAGGGGCGTGGCTGGTGGGCGGGCCCAGAGGGGCGGGCCCGCAGCAGGCTGGTGCTGGCGGCGGCGGCGGCGGCAGCTCTGGTACGGCAGGGACAGCAAGGCAGCAACGGCGACAGAGACACCGGGGAAGCCCGCGCCCCGCCTGCGCCTCCGCGGCGCGCCGGGGAAGCCGAAGCCAGAGCGGCTCCGAGGCGCCATCGAGGCCAGAGGCTTCTGCGGAGCCGCGGTGCGGGCAAGCCACAGATCCAGCCAAGCGAGCACGCAGGGCGAAGGCATCCTCCACCGCAGCGTCTGTCCGTGGCGGCTGCGCGGGAGACAAAGCCTCGGGAGAAAGATGCCCGCGGGGCGCGCAACGGGCGATCCAGGGAGCGGGCGCCTCCGAGTCTAAGTGCACCCGGCTGGCGGTACGTTCCAGGGACGCCGAGGCCCCAGCGGGTCCAGAGGCGGGTGGGGCCCAGGTGCGCCCGGTTGCAGCCGGCCGGTGACTGCTTGGGGGGCGGCGCCCTCCCGCCGCAGCCGCAGTGGCCCGCGCCGCAGCGAGGAGCCATGGGCAACATCTCCTCTAACATCTCGGCCTTCCAGTCCCTGCACATCGTTATGCTGGGCTTAGACTCTGCCGGGAAGACCACGGTGCTCTACCGGCTCAAGTTCAACGAGTTCGTGAACACGGTGCCCACCATCGGCTTCAATACCGAGAAGATCAAACTGAGCAACGGCACCGCCAAGGGCATCAGCTGCCACTTCTGGGACGTGGGCGGCCAGGAGAAGCTACGGCCGCTGTGGAAGTCCTACAGCCGCTGCACTGACGGCATCATCTACGTGGTGGATTCGGTGGACGTGGACCGGCTGGAGGAGGCCAAGACGGAGCTGCACAAGGTGACCAAGTTTGCGGAGAACCAGGGCACGCCGCTCCTGGTCATCGCTAACAAGCAGGACCTGCCCAAGTCGCTGCCGGTGGCCGAGATTGAGAAGCAGCTGGCGCTGCACGAGCTCATCCCGGCCACCACCTACCATGTCCAGCCGGCGTGCGCCATCATCGGCGAGGGCCTCACCGAGGGCATGGACAAGCTCTATGAGATGATCCTGAAACGCAGGAAGTCTCTCAAGCAGAAGAAGAAGCGGTAATGCGTCCGGGCAGCGACTGGGAACGAGGCTGAGCGAACGAGCCACTGAGTGAATGAATGGACGTCTGGGTGAGCGAGAACCCGCGCCCGCGAACAAAGACAACGAACCAAAGCGATGCTTCGAATTTTAAAAACACGATCTCTGTGTCCTAATACAGGACTTGGAGACTTAACCCGGGTGTGGAGGCTGCATTACCACCTTGCTCGCCACCTGCCCCACCCCCCACCCCAGCTCAGGGGACCTTTTGTCTAAATGCTTGGGCTACCCATGGGGTGGGGTGGGGGAAACCGGCGGGGAGTGGACGTGAGGACGCCAGGGTCCGGTGGTGAGCCCTCTGGCCCCAGGTGGGAAGCTTGGATGTCAGAGAGACAAAAGCGATTTCTTCTTGCTCCGCCAGGGCCAGAAGTTCAGGCTGCCCAGCCCCCACTGCGGGGGGAAATCACGTGTGAGTTTACCTGAGGTATGCAGTTCACAGAACCCTGGGGATAGATACCCCCGTGGGAGCGGGTAGGCACCGGGGTGTACTGAAGGGGGGGTGGGAGTGACCGCTCCTTGCATTCTGGAGCTGTGCGACTGACTAGTTTTATGTCACAGGGCAGGCCCCTGTTTGCAGTTTCATTTGCCCTGCTCTGGGCCCAGAGGAGGGTTGGTGGTTTGGGTCCCTCCAGAGGGCTGCCTGGGACCATGCGGCAGCCGGAGGGCCCATCGTGCTGCTGCACTTCTGTCTGGCCTCGGCTGGAAATGGCCTGGAAGACGCCACTTTCCAGGGGTGGGTGTGTGTGGTTTTGCTGAGAACTGTTGTTCAGCCTGGGATGAGACCTCTTCCAGATGGCCTAGGCCCTGTCAGTGTGTTGGTCACTATCAACATAAAGAGACCAATAAAACAAAAACAGAAAAACCATTGGAGGTGGTGGTACCAATACAGGTGTTCAAAGGGTGAGGTTCTTGACATTAATGTGCTCTGTGTGTTTGTGTGTGTGTGTGTGTGCGCGCGCGCGCGCGCGCGTGCATGCGTATGCCCTCCATCCTGCATAATCGGCATAAATACTGGACCCTCTGTGTGGAATTTGAAATTCTCTCAGCCTACTGATTGGTTTGGAGGAGCACACCAGCTATAGATGTGTGCTGAATTGCAAAATGGTTTTCTTAGAAGGGATATCTGATCATTCTAACCACGTGGTGATTTGATTTCAGACGTGTTTTTTTTAAACAAACAAAAAACCCACTTCCACAAATGAATAATCTTCACCTTAGTTTTAAAAAGGGACTGCCCTTTGTGCCCCTTGGCACTGCAAGTGGAGACATGTTAGATTTCTGAGTTGGGTCTTTGTAGCCTAGCTGATTTTAGTATTTTCCTCAGTGTGTCATTAGAGTATTTGATGTCATTCACCAAAAGAATAAAACCCCGCCTTGGGAACACTGACCTTGCTTGCATAGATTTTAGGACAGGGAGACCTGAAGGATAGAATCCTTTGGAATTCACCCTAGTGGGAGCTGGCCTGGCCTTCCAGCCAGCCAGCACTTTGGTTAAATGCCAACAACAATGAGTGCTTGAGATGAAAAGGGAGCAGGTGTGTGACGTCATGGTCACTGGTACTCAGGCACTTCGCAGTTTACTTGAAAGAGGCTTTGGAAAATAGATAAAGTGAAAGAATAAATACATATTTTTAATAATGTAATTTTAAAAATCCTTTATAATCAGGAGTGAGTCTTGGCTTGGTAAAAGCTGCCATTTATCCTGAAACACAGTATCAAAAGAGAAATTTACAACTGACAGGTTTTGTTTCTTTTTTAATCTCCCCTCTTGAGTCCATCTTTTAGGGTAGGATTTTGGTTTCCCTCCATGATGGACACCTTGCTGTGCAAAGGAGGCTATGGTCATGAGTGAGCACGGAGTTGGTCACAATATGAGCCCATCCCTGTTGTCCTTGGCACACTGAGTCAACTTTGGAACCATAGGCAGAAATCATGGCTTCCTGCTTGAAACCCAGTCCTTAGATTGTTTTTAAAGCTGAAGTCTAGCAGCCTGTGCTCCCTCCTTGTGTGTTCCATAGCCCTCCGATGCTGGTCTTTCTGGAGACACTCAGTGGAGCCAAGCAATGGTGAGCAGCCTACAAGATCTGTTTACATGGCAATGGGACACTACTGGCTTCTTCATGGGCTGGTCCCATGGTCTGAAGATTCTGTATAGAATTATTAAAAAAAAAAAAATCCACCTTCTTTTATTTTCTTCACAATTTCTTAAGCACTTTGACATTTTGGTAGTTCCACAATATGGAGAGAATAATATATTTATTTTGTGACATTGCCTATGCCAAATACTGTAACCTTCCTATGCTCACAATACCTGAGTTCCAGGTCAGTGTTCGGATCCTGGCCTGCTCGAACGATGGCGTGGGATGGTTTTGTGGTGTTCTCCCCCCCAACCCCCATTATCAATACTTAAGGGTGCAGTTGACTGTTAGTAGTTGTGCAGTAAAGTCAAGCCCTGTGGTGTATCAGCAAATAGCTAAGAGTCTCAGTTGATTTCTGTAATGTTTGACCTAATAATAAAAGCCCATTTCATCTGTGACGAGAGGGAGCCCAGTGAAAATCACTGTGGTGGTGCCGTGGGGGAGTTCCCATCACATGCCATCGAGGACCCTGAGTCGGCTGTCCTTCGGGTTCCTGGAGAGGAGTTCGGCCTCCCCAAGCAAGGTTTGGAATGGTTTCTATAGACAACAGGGAGGCCAGTAATGATTTAGAGCTGTTCTCTTCACACTCTGTGGTGGTGTTGGGACCGAGTCCTCTGGCTTCTGTTTTTTTTTTTTTTTTTTTTTTTTTTGGTTTTCCTGTAATTCTGTCTTCACCACTCTCTTCTTTGTTCCCGCCCTCTTTTATAATGCGTATATGATGCTGTGAACAGAAATAAACTATTTATACAATCAAACCCGGTGGGGGCATTTTCTGTGGATTTTTTTTTTCCGGTTTCTTGATTTATTTTCCAGGCCTGCAGAGCCAGGGAGTGGAGCATGAGATGGCATTGGGGTCCTGGTGGGGTCCAGTGGCTTTTAGAGCGGCAGCTGGTGTGGGCTTGGCAGAGGTCTCAGTCTACCCTGAATGGTGGTTGCAGAGGCTCAGCCACTCATGCCTGTCTATTGGGCCACTTCCCTCCTTCCATTTCTTGCCTGTTAGTTATTTAAGTGATACAGAATTGTAAAACACTTTGAAACTCTGATTGCCCACTGCTCAGGAGCCTTGAACTACTGGAGTGGTGCAGAAAAAGACGCTGCTCGTTGTGGGCTGATCCTGCCCCCTCTCATTTGAGTGCATCTTCAGAGCCTTGAGACCTGAGGCTTCTCCAGTGGTGTACTGCATACGGTAAGACACCGTGCTCTATAGATGTCGCTGAGCATCAGCTCCCTTTAGGTGGGTGGTAATCAAGGACAGCTAGTTGGCAGGTGCAATGGGGAACGTGGAGATTGTAGGTATTTGGCTACAACTTAATAGCTATGGAGTTAAGAATTTGAACTCTGGAATGAGAAAGGGTCCAGTCCTATGGTGGAGAATGCAGCTCAAGTGAGTGCTTGGAAAGCATGCGTGAAGACCTGGGTTTGGTCCCCAGTGACACTTAAATCAGGAATGCTACATACCCATAATACCAGCACGTGGGATATTGAGGTAGGAGGACCCAAAGTTCCGGATTTGACACCAGCCTGAGCTACATGATACTAAAAAAATAATAAAGTTCCTGAGGACTCTAAGGCTTGGTTTCATCTCAAACCTCAGTTTCCCCATATGTAAAACAAGATAATGAAATCTTAAAAAGTTGTTGGAAGTGTAAACAGGCAACATAGCTGGAGTACCAAGCCCATTTGTTCTGAACAAGTGCTCAGTGCTTTAGGGTTCTGTTGTGTTGTTTTGTTTTTGGTGTATGTGTGTTTAAGTGTGTGAGCAGGTACATGCACGTGTGTGCTCAGAAGATATCACACATCCTGTTCTATCACACTTCAAGGACATTCAGCCACCCCTGGCTTTTTACATGAATTGTGGGGATTTGAACTCAGATGTTGATGCTTGCACAACCATGCACTCTTATCCACTGAGCCATCTCGAAAACAATACGTAGAGTGCAGTTAGCTGCATCAGACTGCTGGCCTTCCTATCAAGGTTTTGCCATCTATGGACTCCATCCCTCTTGGCATCCTTGACCAACCAATATCAAGGCTGCTGGCTCCAGACGGCATAGAATAAAGTCAAGCAGCTGAGCATCTTCAGCCATCCCCATGGTGTGTCACTCAAAGCTGGAAAAGGCTGCCTTGGATGCAAGCTGGTGGTCTCCTGGCTACCCCATACTGCTGGGCTATCAATCCCTTCTGGCTGTGGGTAGATTTTCTGATTGTTGATGTCCAGTATGAATTTGAGCACATGGGAGGTATTCCCTAGCTATCAGACAGGTGGCTTCACTCACATTAACTAATTTTGGTTATAAATGTTAAAATGGGCATCACATAAAGCTTTCCTTTCCTATTAAATAGGCAAGATGAAAGTAGATAAAATATTGATACCATTCTTCAAGTCATTGTCTTGAGAAAACCTTATGGAGGTGGTTGGAATTGGGGTATGTAAAATGTATGCCCAGAACTTCCCTGCTTGATCTCACAGCTTCCCTGCTGCCTGGAGAGCAACCTGTCTGCGCTTGCAACCTGGCACAACTCGGATGCCCATGACTCAGCCTTCACCTGCCAGGGAGAAAGCAGGCCATGAGTCTGCACCCACCAGGGAATCTCCCTCCTCATTCTCTCAGTTTCAAACAGATTGGTGGGGTTCTTCATGCGTTTGCTTCCCACCAGCTCTGAACTTGGGAGTGGGGCTTCTCCGTGCCTTCGAGAAGCTTGCAAGCTGGGGTTTCAGATGAAACAAGCTGTCCCTCCTCCAAGTTTAGAGGCAAGAATGAATGGGCTGTGCACTCGGCACAGCTTCCTTCGAATGGCTCCGAGCAGCTCAGTTCATACCCCAGGTCCCTTCTATCCAGCAGTCTCCCCAGGCTCCATAAGCCTGCTGCTCTTACACCAGGAATGGTCTGCAGTACAAGAAACCTGAGGTTCCCGGGGGAAGCACAGGATAAAGGGGTAGTGGGGCTTTAGAGCAGCATCACACTCTAGTGAAAGTCAGGAAGAACCACCACTGTTAACCCTCCCCAGGATGCTGGTGACAGACCTGGTCCTATACTTAGCATCTGCTTTTCCTTCTTAAAGGACACATGCCATGGCAGAGGACAGTCCTTGTGTCAGGGAGCAAGTTTGAGTATTCAGAAGCTGTTTGTGTCAAGGACACTATCTCCCTGTTTCATCCAGGGGCATATGTGCTGGCAATGGGTCTGCACTTGGGGATGTGTGATGACCCCTCAGAACCTCTGATCTCTTCAGTACAGAGAGGCTGGCACTAGCTACCTCTTCTGCAGGGCAAGTGCAGATGTGGAGAAGGGACACATCTCCTGATTCCTCTTTCTCTGAGGAGTGTCCTCTTTCTCATAATAACCTCAACGTTTTGTCTCCTTTTCATTGAACAGAAAAAAAAAAAATCTATAAAAAGGAAGGAAACTAGCAACTCACTGAAAGGGTTAGACAGGAACTTCCCACGGGGGTCCTCTCTCCTTGTGAGTCTCAGGACCCAGCCTGGAGCTGGAGAGTTCACAGGGGGACGCTTGAGGAAATGAACCTCTCTCTGTCTTTCATTGGTATTATTCTCATTTTTTTGGGTGGCTCTTCAGGACTGTTTTCATTTCCTTAAATGCTAATGTCATATGCAATTAATTTCAGCTGCCCTCGTCTCATGCAAACTCAAACCATTTCCATGTATAATTTAGAAAACATGGTAATGATGGTTGTAACAGCTCTTTCATAAATACAGGTTTGCATTCATTGTTTCAGAAATGACAGTTTGCTTTGCTGTGTCATTTGATCTGTGCCGGGACGATGCATTCATTACATTCCTAAAATGCTGCTAAAAATAATGCTCACAAACACTGACACCTACTGTTTTGGGAAACCCTGCTGGCAGAGATGCCAGGATGACTTATGTGTCCCCATTCTTGACCTCAGATGGCTGTCATTCTAGCTGGTGAGTCAGGTCTAAACTATCAAACGACACCTGAGTCCATTGTGAGACACTCTTCACGGTACCAATGATTCAGTCATTAACTTAGTTAAATTCATGGTTACAAGCCACCTGCCTTAGCCTAAACCAGGAGTACTTTGTTTCCCACAAAGCACAATGCTCTAAACTTTATGTAAAGAACTCCAGCCCATTGTCTGCTACTTGTCCTCCATCTCCCCTATACTGATCTGAGTCATGCCAGTGAACATCACTCCTGCTGAAGTCCAGGATAAACACAGCAGCCCCAACCACTAGCCCCAAACCCCACAGGTTGCTCTCACACCCATCCATTGTTATTGTTCAAGGGATCTTTTGGAGATGTGGCTTCTTTAGATACAACCTCACCTTGTTATAGGTGTGGATTGGAGTAGAGAGGACACCTTTATGTTTCTTTATGTCCCAGAATGAACAATTGGACCAGAGACATATGGATAATGGTAGCAATAGTGATGGCTTATTGAGAAAGAAACCCCTTCCGAGAATGATGGGAGTTGGGTAGAGAGTTGGGAAGGCTGGGCGCTCTGATGGCCTCAGCCAAGAGAGTTGGTGAGGCTGGGTGGGCTGTTTATGAGTGCTCTCCTTGGCCTGCATTTGGAGAGCTTGGTTTTTTCTGGCACATGCTCTGTCCCTTGCATATAGCCCTGTCATGGAGGGGGTTCCTTGTCTTTCTGTCACCTGGCCTCTTCCTTTAAAAATCTGATCTAATCCTGACGCCTTTCCTAGTCCCCACACTCCTGCCATAACCTCAGGTTATGTGTCCAAGAGTCTTGAGTAACTAACTGGATGGCCGACACTACAGCCTTTCAGGAAAGCCTACCCCACCCACCCCACCCCTACCCCTTGGAGTTGCAGCCCACACGTGCTTCCTGGCTGGAGATGCTGAGATGGGTGAATCCTAATCTAGCCAGCCACAGCCTCTAACCAGCATGCTGCCCACCTGAGGGAATGGGGTAATCTTCCTTCAGTCATTTAAGGATTTTCTGCAGAACTATTGAGAAAGATCATTCGTCCCCAAGACGAATGTTTTTGTTTTTTTTTTTTTTTTTTTGTTTTTTTTTTTTTTTTTTTTTTTTTTTTTTTAGTTCTGCTCTCCCTGCAGTGTTTGCACAGGTAACTGGAATCCTGGAATCTGAAGCAAGAGTCTGGTGGGTCTGAGGTCTCAAGAGGAGTCTATGATGGCCCTCTTCCCCTACACACACACACACACACACACACACACACACACACACACACACCAGCACCTGGTCACCAATATGCTAGGGAAATCCAGACTTTGCTTGGAAGACATCCTCCCTCTGCCTCTGTATAGTGTACTCAGGGAAGGTGACCCAGTCCTAGTTTCAAGGGAGATTTGTGGGAATCTGCGATTTGCTTAGAAAGGATCATGTGACACAATTCAAACCAAGACAGTGGGAAGGAAAGGCCTCACCATGTGGATGTCCATGAGACATTTCCACTCCAAACTAGAAGATCACAAGAGGGTGGGGTGTGGGGTTGTGGCCAGGCTGCTAGTCTTCCTACTAAGCCCAGAGCCAGTCCTGCTCCCCGCCACCACGTGCTGGGGTCCCCTGAACCTTGCTGTATGAACAGGCTCAGATAGGAGCGCTACCCATCCAGCAGCTGTGGACAGCATGGCACGTGGATTCCAAGCTGGTGCCCTCACATCAGGTGTGCAGGGCCTGCTCCCAGGGTTATTGGATGCTGGAGCAGCCCCTGAGTTTGGCCAGGCTGGAGTATGTGCTAAAAGCCTGATTTTCTAATATGTTCTCCTGTAGTTGTTCTCTGGATGCA